TTAATCACTTCGCTTTGTCTGAGCGAGCATCTTGTTTAGTTCGGTAACACTTTGATTCATTCAACAAAACAATCTGAAACTTCTTTGTACATAAAAAATTAAGCAGCTTTGTAGGTGGATCAAAGGCATCTTTGCACGGTAGATGTATTTGATCGACTGAAACATAGATATCTTTAACATCAGTTGACGTGCAATCTGTTGCACATACTGCTGCACACAGAGGAGCTTGTCACCTTTACTATCCTTCTCAACACCAGTGAGTCAGCATTAGGTCCTGGTGGGGGAGTCTAATGGTGATTCTTCAACCGACAGTGAGGGGATAGCAGCTGCTAAGGAGTGTGATGCGAGACGGGGTAGGGTGTGCATGGGGGAAGGGGGCGCAAAGAGTCTTGATATTACTGGTAGGTAAAGCCCTGTGCCTCACTGCTTGCTGTCTTCTTCCCATGTTGTGCAAGGTGACATTTAAAACATTGAAGGGAATAGATGAGATCATACTGTCCAGTGGTTTGAGGAGCATTCAATGATGAGTGAGCACCGAGTGCTCAGAGAAGCCCCAAATGTCAGCACGTAGTTCATAGCCATGCGTACACCCACGCTTTCACAAATTACCAGACTGCGTTATCATAAATGGTCAGTTTTTATATGATACAGTGATGCAGAGCTGAAAAAAAAATACATCTGTAACTAATGCACGACAAGTCAAACTTGTGATCGCAGCATTTAAAAGGAAACCACACGGTGGTTAATTCAAAATGCATGCAATGATCATTTAAGGTACAAGTGCAAGCCGAGTTTATGTTAACTAAATGTAGACGCTCTCATGATATAAGCCCTTAAAACTTTTTTGTGGTCTCCATGGTAGTTATATGTCTGACCTTTGTCACATCAGGTCAGTTTATGGTTGTTCACAAAGTAAGTTTTACTATTAGCAGCTTTAACTGTCTCAGCCCCAAAAGAAAGAGTAAGATGTTATCATTCTACTCACAGTCATAAGACAAAGAAATGCATTGCATAAGAAAAATGCATGGCTACACAAGCCTGGAAAATTTGAATAGATCTCTTCAAATATATACATATACATATATATATATATATATATATATATATATATATATATATATATATATATATATAT